GCGTTCGAAGGCGCGTCCGACTCACAGCGCATTTGATGGGCCGGAACGACAGCAGGTGCTCGGTTCGGTAGCCGCTGTTTCCACTCCAGGCCTCCCAGCGGGGGTAGTCGCCCTTCTCCAGGATGAACTGCTGCCCCTGGTACTCCGGGTACTCGAAGCCCACCCAGCTGTGCGAGAGGGGGAGGGGACGGTGTCAGCGGCACCAGCACGTCTGCGGGAACGTGCCCCCAAAAGCAGAGCTGGCAAAGTCCCTGGGAGGAGGGAGCAGGGCAGGCCCCCAAGGGACCCAGTCTAGGCTTCCCCCACCTGGACAGATCAGCTGCCCCTTGCCCTCAGCACCGCCTGGGGGCAGGGAGCCCGTCCCTTCCCTCATGCGCCTCATTTCACAGCGGGAGAAACCGAGTCACAGAGCAGGGAAGCGACTGGCCCAAGGTCACCCAGCAAGTCCGTGGCAGAGCTGGGGCTAGGACCCAGGCGCGTGCTCTGACCCCTGCTGCACTGCGGAGCTGCCCTACGGCCTGGCGGCTCGCGGGAGGAGGCGGCGAGGGGGCCCCGGGCGGGTGAGGCTGGGGCCTGGGGCACTTACGAGCCGTTCTCCACCTTGATGGAGCGGAGCTTGCGGAAGCTGCGGTCCATGACGCTGGGACACTCCAGCAGGAACTCGCTGCGCTTGCCCTGGAAATTCTCCTCCTCCCAGACCGTGAGCTTGAACTGGCCCAGGGCCTCCATGGGCGGGCTGGTCATTGGGAGCTCGCCAGCTGCAGAGACAAAGCCCACCTCAGCCACACGAGACCCCCGCCCTGGCCCCCCGCAGCGACACGGCTCCAGCAGGGCAGGGCACGAGTCTCAGCTACGCCCACGGGGGAATCTGGGTTCCTAGAGCACATCCGGCCCCAGGGTTCGCCTCTGCTCCGAGGGGGAATGGCGGCACCGAGGGTTGGGGCAGCTACATGGTGGGATTGAGGAGTTAGGGACATGGAGCCCAGGGCTGGGCTAGCAGGGGCGGCGGGTCGGGGGGGGGGGGCACGGGGCGGGGGGGGGGGGGAGCCCAGAGGCTAGCAGGGGCTGCAGTTCACAGGAGCCCCCCACACCCTAAAAACAGGGCAGCAGGCGGGGATGGGCAGGCTCCTGGTCCCAGCGCCCACTGGGACGCTCATGCAGCAGCGGGGTGACTCCATGGCGCAGTTATCGGGGTGCATGGCAGATGTGCCCTCGTGGGAGGGCTCTGCCCCCCCCAGCTTCCCTAATCCTGTGCCAGGGCTGGGGGGGGGGCGAGGAGGCAGTGGACAGCCAAGACAGCAAGTCCCCGAAACCAGGATCCACGCCAAAAATACCAAGGTGCCAGCTGTGCTGCCCCCCCCCGAGCGCCCCCAGAGAGTCTCGTGGGGGGCGGCTGCAGGGGCCCGGGGGGTTCATAGCCTGATACTTACTTGGTCTGCAGGGCACAAAGACGAGGGTGGCGCTGTGGGGCTGGGGGCCTCCCAGGGTCTCTTATAGCCCGGCCGGCTCAGTGCAGCGTGTGCACAAGCAGGCAGGGCTGAGTCAGCGGGGGGAGCCCGGGAGGTGCGGGGGGCCAGGCGCCGGCTTGTCCAGTCCACTCAGCCATTGTGGGGGGATCAGCCGCCCGGGCGCACAATGGAAAGTGCTGGGCCGCGCTCGCTCCGGAGCTCAGGGTCACAATAGGGAAAACGCCTGACGCTCCACTTTCCTTTCTCCCGCGGCACAATGCGCCCGTGCTGGGGGGATTAGGGGCAGAGCCGGGGCCAGTGGGACGCCAGCCGGGGGGGGACAGTGGTGTCATGGGGGGGGGCAGGAGCTGCGCTGCTCACTGGGCTGCTTGTTGAAATGCCACGGTGGAGGCCAGGGGACACTGGGGCAGACGCTTCCCTTCCTTGGGTCACGGATGCCAAGCTGTGCCCGGCCCCCTGCCCGGGGCTCACTGCCCTGAGGCTCCTGGGGGAGGCTTGGCCCACCCACCTCCCACGTCAGATCCTCTCCCCAGCCTGTCCCCCACCTCGGCGGTGTCGAGCTGGGGCGGTGGGTCCCAGCACTGGGATGGGGATCGGCCCATCCCGGCGTCCCGCCTGCTGCCCCACGCACTGCCCTAGCAGACCGCCGGGAACCCCGAGCTGGTCTGTGACCAGCAGGGGGTGCTGTTCAGGGCTGGCCCCGCAGCGGGAGCGAGGCTAGCGAGCTGGGGGGGTGGGAATCAAGCAGATATCCGGGGATTCCCCCTCCTGTTGCTCCAATCGGGCCCCTCTGGGGGGGTCTTCTCTTTCTCGCTGCCTGGCAGGGGCCGGGCCGCTGGGCGATGCACGTGCCCAGTTCCCATCCCTGCGCCCCGTGGGGGGCACTGGACTTTGCAGCGTGGCCGAGGCCGCCCTGTCTGGGGAGGGACCGTTTGGGTTAAACGTGGAGCCACCTGGGAGCAGCTTTGCCTTTAATTCCTGTCCTGGGCCCCGGCCCGCCCTCTCCCGCACCGGCCGGCTGACGGCTGGGGTGTGAAAGGTGCCCCAGGGACAGGGCAGGGACGGGCCACACCTGTCTGGGGATGCCCCTAGGAAATGTCTGGATCCCCCTGGGCTCCTGGGGGATCAGGAGCAGCCCCCCCAAAGAGCCGTTCTGGCCTAGTCGGTGATGAGGGAGTGGTTAGAGTGCGGGGGGGGGGTACCCTGGGAGGCAGGACTCCTGGGTTCTCTGCCCTGTTCCGCCACTGACTTGCAGTGGGACCTTAGGCGAGTCCCTTTCCCCACCCTGTGCCTCGGTTTCCCCAGCTGGGGGCGATACTGGCGCGCTTTGCGAGCCCCGGGTGAGCCAGGAGCCAGACTGGCCGGCTTCGCCCTGCTCCTGCCCTGCTCCTGCCCTGACCCCGGCAGCGTTGGGCCTGGTCCCACCGAGCGGACAATCCCGCGAACCCCCACTAGAGGGCGCCGGAGGGCAGGGATTGCGCCCGGGCGGCGCAGACACCCAGGGCCTGGGCAGGCTGGGGCTGTGGCCGGGGCCAGGACATGGGGGGGGACCCAGCTTTGCTGGGTGTTTTCTAGTGCAGGGGGCAGCGTGGGGCCCCCGGAGCCGGACGTCTCTTACTGTGGGGATGAGGCTCCGGTGGGGCCCTGCCACGCTCTCGGCTGGGTAGGGGAGCGACCGGAAAGGCCCAGGACTGGGAGCGGGACCCACAGGCAGGGCGCTGGCTTTGCTGTGGGTGCTTCGACCATCTCCCCTCCTGCCAGCCCGGGCGCCCCTGGCAGGGCTGGGGAGTAGGGCTGGGAAGGGCGTCCCTTGCCCAGGGGGGCAGGAGTGGGAGCAGGGGGTGTCCCTGCCTGGCGGACGGGGACGGGGACAATGCAAAGTCAGAGGGTGCTGGAGGCGATGCTCCGGGACCCCGGCTCCTTTCCACGCTGGCGGCTCTGGCGGGGCGTTGCATGGAGCTGGGGAGAGGCAGGGGGCAGGGAGTGCTCGACTCTGCCCAGAGGGGGCAGGTTCAGCCTCGCCCGCTCCCCAGCGCCCCGGGCAGCGATGCCGCCCCGTCCCCTGGAACAAGCCAGCTCCCGGCGTGGCTGCCCATGCGGCCGCGCTGCCAGCGGCAGGCGTCTCCAGGCGACAGACACACGGGGCTGGGGGCTCGTCTGCCTCGAGGGGAGCTGCCGATGCCAGCTCATTAGCGGGCCCGGGGCTTGCTGACGGGCTGGGCCCCTGGTCATTCTGCCACCCTCCCCTCCCCCACCGGGGCCCTTGGTCCTGTCACCCTCCCCTCCCCCACCGGGGCCCTTGGTCATTCTGCCACCCTCCCCTCCCCCACCGGGGCCCTTGGTCCTGTCACCCTCCCCTCCCGCACCGGGGGCCTGGGCCGATCTCACCCTCCTTGGAGACGCAGCAGGTCAGAGACTGGACGCGAGGCAGGAGCTGGGGTTTCGGGGAGGCTGCCCGGAGGGCAGAGGGGGCGGCTCTTGGGCCCGCAGTGGGGGGGGGGGGATGGAGAGGAGGCTGGCACTAGGGAAGAAGGAGGGTCCCCCATGGCTCATGGGACAGCGGGGGCCAGGGCAGCCCTGTTTCCCAGGCTCAGACCCCAGCGCTGCCCTCCCAGCGGAGCAGAGCTGGGGACGGGCTCAAGGCCAGGCAGGGCAATGGGGGAGGAGATTGGAGCATGGGGGCCCCTCGGTGATATTGACCGGGATCGGTGGGAGGAAAGGCTGCCTTGTTACCCTGTGAGACTCCCCGCAGCAGGGCGTTCGGGCGGCAGAGGGGTCGGTGAGGGGTAACAATGTAGCAGGGGGAGGGGGCCGGCTGTAGGGTTCCCATGCTAGCCCCCAACCCACCCCCTGTGGGGCGGTGCCTGGAGGGGAGCTGGGCTGATACGCCCCAACAGCAGCGGGCATTGGGCGGTGCTGGGGCAGGGGATGGAGCTTTGCCCTGAGCTCCATGGAAGACACAGGTCAAGAGCAGTCAATGGTTGGACAGGAGGTAGGATGGGCCAGTGGCCTGATCCGGAGCAGCCGGAGGTGTGGTTCTAGACTAGCTGGGCTGAACCAAAGCTTCAGAAGGTTGGTTCTAGACTAGCTGGGCTGAACCAATGTAGCAGGAAGAGGGTTCTGGGTTAGCTGGGCTGAACCAATGTAGCAGGAGGTAGGGTTCTAGACTAGCTGGGCCAAACCAATGCAGCAGGGGTGGGGTTCTAGACTAGCTGGGCTGAACCAATGCAGCAGGAGGTGGGGTTCTAGACTAGCTGGGCTGAACCAATGCAGCAGGAAGCAGGCCACCATGGCCAGTGCTATGAGCCAGGGCCCGTGTTCCTAGTGATCTGGCTGGGCCCCACATCTCTGCCCCAGCCCCATGGATTTTGACAGAGTCAGAGGGCAGCTCTGAGCTGGTCTCCCACGTGGGTCCCTATGCTCTGCGCAGCCCCCAGTGGGGAGGGAAGTTCGGGGCCTGTGCGGGGAGCTGCCCCCCTCCCCCCCAGCAGATGGAGCTGAGGCCAGGCCCTGTTTATCTTGCTCCCAGTTGCCGTGTTTGCTCTGGGGATTGTTTCCTGCCACCAGCGCAGACACAGGTGGCTTTTATTTGCAGGGTCTGGCTGATTAGATCAGGGCGGGTGCAGCCCCCGGGCAGCCTCATTTCCCTGCAGACTCACCCTACTGGGAAGGGATGCAAATTCACCCAGGGCTGGGCGAGGCCGTTATCCTGCAGGGCTCCCCACAGCCAACCCCCTCCCTCGGCTCCCCTGAGCCCCGGATCAGGGCCTGGCGAGCTGACCCACTCCCAGCAGCCAGGCTGCCCTGTCCTCTGCTCCAGGGACACTGGGGAGCGGTCACGCCGAGCCCTGCAGCGCACACGCGTGTGCTCACGCACATGCCCTGTGCCGGCCTGCGCATGCAGCGAGACACGCTGACCCCACTGCCCCCCCGGCCATGCACCCCGTCATGGCGGAGCCCAGGCCTGGACACATGTGTGAGGGCACCCAGCCCCCGCCT